TATATTAAATATATTTATATATGATATAATTTATATGAATATACATATATACATGTAAATATTTTCAAAATATATGCTGTGTGTGTTTATATATACACATAATATACACCGTACACACATATATTATGTAAACAAAAACTTTTATTTTGGATGCGATTAATCGTTTGACAGCACTAATTTAAAATTAATTTAAATGGTTTAAAATATATATATTTTTTAATTCTTTTGATTTGTATTAAATAAGATTTTAATAGTTTGTATTAAGTTTTTTTTAATTTTAGTTGAATATTTTTTACTTCCTGAATTAAATTACATTTAAATTATGTAAATTAAATTTAAAATGTTAAATATATTAAATATACATTTTTAATGTATTATCCTTTTATGTTTAAACTCAAATATGTGCTAATGAATGAAATGGGTGTTTTAACGTGGTGTAACTTGGTACAGTTTAATCAAAATAATATATCTAACTCGTATACATATAGAGACAACACTAAAAATACAGTAATCTTAAATGATGATTAATGATTGTTTTTGATCAAGCTAGTGAAAATGAACTAGGTCTGCTTAACAAAGGCCTGAATGTTGATCTCTGTTGCCCTCTACAGGTTGGATCCATGCAGTGCTCACTTCTCAGGACTCCATGGCCTTTGGTGGGAACTTCTTGCATAACTTAAACATATGCATGCAGCTCAGGTAAAACCTTGAAACCTTTTGATTAATCTTCTCTAGATTGTTGCGGTCACTATAGTTAATTTCAGGCTTCTATACGTATTCCTGCTGTAATTGAACTACCTCCCCATTCACATTTTAGGTGTTATGAGATGGAACGCAGACTGAAGACTCCAGATCTCTTTAAGTTCCCATACTTTGAGGCCATCTGCTGGTATGTGGCCAAAAACCTTCTGGAGACCCTTAAAGGTGAGTGAGACAGGACTACTCATGCAGTTCTTTAGTCCAGGGCAGGATTTTCGATAATTCAATGGTCCGTTGTCAGTTATTCCTTACATAAATGTAGTTGTAGATAAAGCATCATGAAACATGTTTGTGTTTCAGAGTTGCGGGAGGATAAATGTCAAGCTCAGGGTTATCTAGTGGACGGAGTGAAAGCTTTAATCTCATCACTGAAGACATGGCTGAGGCGGGAGGTGAGAGAATGTCTGCTTTGACTGTTACATTATTTTTATGGTAAAACTCCTGTGGCTGTTGTACATGCTCATTTTCACTGTGTGTTTCCTCTGCAGTTGACTCAACCCAACAGTGAGGTTCCAGACCATATCAGCCCAAGCCGTCTCATTAAAGATCTGACCAAGGAGATCCGCTACCTGGAGGTAAGAGGAGCCTGAAGAAGTTGAGTTGTTTTGAAAGTGTGATGAGACCGAGTAACTTGCCACTATTCTCCACGCTTAAATTAAAAACAATTTGTATTTCAATTTTATTAGAATTATATTACATTTTACAGAGATTAAATTGGTCATTCTTAAAGGGATAGTTCACCCAAAAATGAAAATTCTGTCATTAATTACTCACCCTCATGTCGTTCCAAACCCGTAAGACCTTCGTTCAAATTCGGAACACAAATAAAGATATTTTTGATGAAATCCGAGAGATTTCTGACCCTCCACAGTTGCATTGCTGTCTATGGGAGGGTCAGAAAGCTGTCGGATTTCATCAAAAATATCGTAATTTGTGTACTGAAGATGAATGAAGGCCTTACAAGTTTAGAACGACATGAGGGTGAGTAATTAATGACACAATTTTCATTTTGGGGTGAACTATCCCTAAAAATTGTATGCAAATTAAATTTTATTATAAAGTAAATTTATATTATAATTATTAAATATATTAAATTAATTCTTAATGGGTTTTTTTCTTTCTGTATGCCAAATTATATTATATTAGAATTATATTAAATAAATTATTTTAAATAAAATGTCAAATATATTTCATCTACATGGCACAACATGGCTGCTAAAGCAGCTCCTAGAAGTTCAATTGATTTGCTGTGTTTTCTTAAACAGGATGAATCGAATAAAGCTGGAAAATCTCAGGGAAGTGCTGAGTGCTCTTTATCACGCACAACACTGGAGAAGGAATATCAGGCACAGCGGGCCGTTCGTCATCTTCACCACCATCATCATCATCATCATCATCATCATCACAGCCACAAACTGCCCTCTAACTTGGATGTCCTGGAGCTTCACACGCTGGAGGTATTAAAGAGACTGGAGGTCGGGCCTCTTGAGGAGGTGAGTGCGTCCCCCCCCCATCATAATGCACTGTAGCATTAAGCTCAGATTTCTTGTCCGTTCTCCATAGCGTCATTAGCATTTATCATTCCTTATCATATGACTGTAATGCAATGCTATCAAATGATTGTAGAGGACATTTTCACCTTGATATTGGATATGCTCACTGCTTTAGCAGCATGCAATTATTAGTCATTTCCAATAAAAACACCTCTCTTCTCTTGTAACAGGACCCAGCCTTCAGCTCCAAAGTGAATGGCAAGCTCAAGAAAGTGTCTTCAGTGTCTGCAGTAGCTGTTGAGGGCAGTAATGACAACGCCCTGCGCCTGGTGCTATGTAACGGCAAAATTATGCGGTGAGGGTCCTTTACTGAGAAATCATTGAATGGTTACATGCCATTGTTTTCATGTAGACATCTATATTAGAGAACTTTTTAAATACAGTGTGGAATTTAGTATAATTTCACTGGTATTGGTATATTGACTACTAAAATGTTGGTATTTTGCCTCTTGTACCTCTTAATTCTTGACGCGATATAGTTTGATTAATACTAGTTTCTTTATACTAGCTTTATCTATTTATTTTTATCATCATTATTATTATTATAAACTAATATTCAAAAGGTTGGGGTCATAATATAGTGTGTGTGTGTGTGTGTGTGTGTGTGTGTGTGTGTGTGTGTGTGTATTAGTTTATTTATTTGAAATTTCAATTTTTATTCATCATGGATACAATAAACTCATCACAAGTGACAGTAAAATATTTTACATTGTAACAAAATATGTATATTTCCGGTCATCAAAGAAAAAAAATGTGCATGATTTCCATAAAAATATTAAGCAGCACAACTGAAATAATAAATGTTTCTTGAGCAGTAAATCAGCATATTAGAATGATTTCTGAAGGATCATGTGACACTGAAGACTGAAGATGCTGAAATTTCAGCTTTGCATCACAGGAATAAATTACATGTTAAAATATATATTAAAATAGAAAACAGTTATTTTAAAACGGTTTAAAACAGTTATTGTCATATTTCACAATATTACTTTTTACTGTATTTTTTTGTTTAAATAAATTGATTCTTGGTGAGCATAAGAGACTTCTTTAAAAAAAAGTTAATAATGATAACAATAATAGTAATAATAATAATAATCTTACCAACCCCAAACATTTGAATGGTATGTTTATGATATTTTATGTAATAATATTTGATTTTTCATTTATATTTGTTTACTGTAATACAGTAATTACATGAATGTTATATTTTGAAGGCTTTTTATATTCTAAACATCTCATGAAGAAGTGTGTCCTCCTTCCTCACAGCGAGAGGTTAGCGATCAGTAATGTGGCAGCCAAAGTCAGTGGAGTGGAAATGTTGCAGTACCATCAACACGGGATCAAATGGGAAAGAATGTCGATGTGCCAACAAGAAAAAGTGAAAAAAGAAAAGCGAGAGGATGAATTAAGAGTGCACTGCACTATCCAGAAACCAGTCAATCACGGTGAGCAACTTAGCTTTTGCTCGCCAGAATGCTTACATAATACTGAAGCCAGACAAAAGCATCATTTTCTTCTGTTAACAGTGATTGATCATAATGTAAAAGGAAATGTGTTTGACTCTCATCTCTCAGGTCTAACTGTGCAGACAGAACTCAGGACAGAGTCGCCACATGTAACGTCTTCAGACAGCGACTCGGAGTCAGAAGCAGAAGATTCTGCTGAGGTACTGATGATGTCCAAGCAGCTCCCCAGGAGCTAACCACTTATTTTCACTTGGTCAAATGGCTTATCCATCTTAATCCTCTCTATCACACTTTCTTTAAACAGAAACACTCTGAGTCAGAGAGTTCTGAGGAAGAGGATGGAGGAAGCAAGAGAGACTCGGGGAGTTTTGTGGAGCATCTGAGCGGCCGGCAGCACGGCCACCATAAGCAAGTGCTAAAACGGTATGGCTGCCCTTCATTTTACACACCTGAGAAACTCATTTTAAGTGCTTTTTCTCTTTTTTGTGCTAAAATTGAAATCTTGTTTCCCACAGAGAACGCCCTACCTCACCGAGCACAGATGATGCCATTCAGGGCATGCTGTCTATGGCGGGGCTGCTGTGTCAGCGGGCGTCAGCAGGGGGCGATATTTTACAGCAGCACTGGTGGTCCAGTCAGGTTAACAGTAACAGCAGCAGCAGTGACTTGTGGGACAGCAGTGAACCCTGCTCGGCAGCCCGCAGCCCGGAGGGAGAGGATGGGAGTCTCGGAGAGGAGTATTCATATAGAGAGAGCTCACTTTCTCCTCCCCTCCACCCCTCCAAAAGACACGCCCCCAACACCACACCCATCAGCAACCAGGCCACTAAAGGTGAGCTGATTAACCTTCATTACTATTTCTTAGAAAAATAAATAAATCATAGAAACGATAATAATATTTGTATTGTTATTTCTTATAAAACCTTTATTTGCCAAATCAAATAATATTAATATTAAAACATTATTAATATTAAATAATAATAATGTGTGTGTGTGACCCTGGACCACAAAACCAGTCATAAGTGTCTATTTATAAAAACTTCTGAATAAATAAGCTTTTCATTGATGTATGGTTTGTTAGGACAATATTTGGCTGTGATACAACTATTTGAAAATCTGGAATCTGAGGGTGCAAAAAAATCTAAATATTGAGAAAATCGCCTTTAAAGTTGTCCAAATGAAGTTATTAGGAATGCATATTACTAATCAAAATTTAAGTTTTTATATATTTATGGTAGGAAATTTACAAAATATCTTCATGGAACATGTCTTAATGATTTTTGGCATAAAAGAAAAATCAATCATTTTGACCCATACAATGTATTTTTGGCTATTGCTACAAATATACCCCAGCGACTTAAGATTTGTGGTCCAGGGTCACATATGATATATAATTTTTAAATATGTATGAGAATATTTTTGTTGAAACTATTTACACTAAAAATGTAATTATATTAATGCATTCATTTGTTTATAGTGATATTAGTAAATTGTGTGTGTGTATATATATATATATATATATATAATTTTTTTTTATATGTATGAGAATATTTTTGTTGAAACTATTTTTGTCTTAAACTTTTCTTAACTTTTTTTAAAAAAGGGAGATTTTGAAAATGGTCACTTAGAAATCACATTTATTCAGAGCGCAAAGAAAATGTCTTAGTTTTTACTTGATGGTTACACCACATGACAGTTTTAGAGGCATTACATTTGTCAAAACTTTTCTTTAACATGGTATAAAAGAATACATTTAAGTATATTACCCATTTTAAACTACATTTTTAAAGGATTTTGTTTTTTATTTTAATTTATCATTAACCCACTTATGTGACATTTACCAATAAAACATTTTTGGGAGTTCACAAAATCATTCCAAAAATGTGTATTTGTGGAGTAAAGGTCCTTGCACACTGAGTCTGAGATTTACGTATGTGTCTTTTCGTATTCGTCCTCCTAAAAATTTGTCACGCCCAGAAACCTTGCACACTGAGTCCGATGAGTATTAATTAATCCGTTGCGAAAAAATTCGCAAAACAGTACTAAATGGAGTCTTCAAGCAGTGAGGATGATTTTGTTGTCCTCTCTTGTCGCTTCTTAAAAGAGAAAAAGAAAGGAAATATTGGGTCCATCCAATCCTGAGATACAGAGAGGAAGGAGAGTTCCCCCTCGTTATTAAGAAGCAGCAGGATTATTACGGGCGATTCAAAGTTTACTTCAGGATGTCAATGGCTCAGTTTGATGCTTTGCTAGCAATATATTTTCAACGTACGAAAATTTCAGACTCGGTGTGCCATGCCTTAACAATAATGTTCGCGACAGTTTTTCAGAGAACACGCTAAATGGCTTGTATTGACTTTTGTATTGACTGTGCTTTTACTTATATCATGTTTTTGTGGTTTTATTGCAGGAAAGCGTCCTAAGAAAGGACAGGTGACGGCTAAACAGAGGCTTGGGAAGATATTGAAAATGAGCCACCATAAAGGCTTATTCCTGTAGCATGACGGAGGAAAGAACGAGACATGTAATAAATCAACACAGCTGCTTTTCTTAATACGCTGGGACTATTAGCACACACACAGAGTTCTCTTACTCACTGTGCATGTTTAGGTGACAGGGTATGTTTAATGGCTCACTTTATTTTCACCAATCACACAAAATACAACACGCTATCCATCAGCACAGGGAAACTGCTTTACTTTGGACAGCATTTCAACATTAACAGCCAAGAGTTTCAAGAGGAAGCACAGAAACGGATAGTCGGAGGTCCAGAGAGCAGTGTGTGTTCCTACAGCCAGGAAAACGAGCCGCAAGTGTGTATCCGCGGGCTGAGGCCTCTCCTCTCCCCTCCCTACCTCTTACCGCATCTGTAGCATGAGTGTCCTGGAGCTCGCAGGCTAAGGACGTCTTCCTAGCCCTCTACAGCCCGACATTGGTCTTCGGATTCCCCTCAAGTCATTATCAATCTGCCTATCTCTCTCCTTTGATTGTCTCAGGCTGATGTATGAGCTTTTGAAATAGTGCTGAATCCTTCTCCAGTCCCCTCTGCCCCTTTAAGCAATAATTGTACAGCAGTGAGTGATGTATTGATGATTTAGTGGGCCGCACTTTTAGGATGCGCAGGAAGTCTTCTCATAGTGGAAAGTATTGTACAACCATCAAAAAGTGGCAAAGATATAACATGATTTTCCTTGATTTGACTGTTTATTCTCCGGCGGACTTAAATAGGCGATTTAAAGGAATATTCTGAGGTAATTTTTGTATACCGTTCCAAGTTCTGCTGAGGAAGATAAATTGGAGTCGTACCTTGTTTTGTAAAAACAAAACGTTTAATTTAAAAAGTTTAGTAGGCCTTGTCAACCTTTTTGGTTTATTTTTATTATTATTATTATTTTTTAACTATATATCTTCCAAAAGCTAGTGAAATATTGGAAAAAAACTGAGGAAAATGCGGTGCCTCACGTTACTTTGCCTTTGTCACAACCCAGTGGCCACAGAGAGGTACTGCATCCTGGAGCGCCGCCTCTGAAATACTGTTTGTGATGTAGTTTGCAAGGACTAAATATGCTTGGCACGTGATTGACAATGATCTTTCGCGCATTCTGCATAATTTATGTTCTATTTTGTTTGTTTTGGAAATTTTTTTGTTGTTGACTGGATAACTTATTTATTAATTTCAAAGATATAAGGATTTGCATAGAGTTTACCGTTTTTCCTTTGCATTGAATAGTTTTGTAAATAGGGGTATAATTTTGAATGTTGCCAATTCAAGAGGAATGAGCTTTTGTTTAGGTTCAGCTTTATGGATTTTGTAGTTAACATTTAATGCTACTTAAAAGAAATTTGAATGACTTTTCCTGTTCAATTTACCTCTAAAATGTTTAGCGAGTTTGTTTGAATAATGTTGCTTTATGTTGACTTTATGACCTGTTGAAAAGGGACAAAAGAATTTCAGTGGGAACAACGACAAAGTGGTGCTTGTGTGTGAATTTCTTAGAGAGGCTATGAAACGTTTTCTCAGGGAACATCAAACAGGTGACATCTTTGAATTCATCACCAGCACTGTCATACAATCAAGTTTTATACTCGTTTGCCAACAGATGTATATATTCCCAATTGTTTTACTTGATTCTTTTTTTGTCTGGTGGACGTAAAGCCCAGATTCAGAACAAAACTGTGTCCCGCTCTGAAGTATATTACATAGTTTGTTGGACTTTGTGCATAGAGCAGCACCAACAGATTATGATCAGCTATTCTCGACTGTTGTGTAAGAGGTCTGTTGGTTTAAAAAGCGAATGCACTATTTTGGATGACTCGAGTTGGAAAACTGCGAAAACTCAGGCTTTGTTACGGTTTTGAGTTTTGCTCTTACGCATGTGTTTTATGAAAGAAAAAAAAAAGTTCCTCTGTTTCCGTTCACTAACCTTGATATAGACACACACCCTTTCAGCTTTCTCCTTCATATTTGATCAATGGAGCTGGTTTTCAGACAGGTTTCCTTTGCTTTGACGCATTAATTGTACAGTATTTATTAATCTCTAGCATTCATTTCCATTTTCAACTGTGGTATAGGCTTAATGTCACTGTGTTTTTAGATGCTGTGTTCTGTTCCTCCTCTTCAAAATTTCCCAGAGTTCTCTATGAAAGTTTTGGATGTGATGGAATTTCTCCAATGCAATGTATATATAAGATGAGGGAAATGTTTTGTAGATCACACTGTTTTCCCCCTCCCTTTACCAAATGTTAAGTGATAAAACACTGTTCTGACAAATTGAAGCGTTGATGGATTTTATTTATACTTTATAATGCAACTTTTACAATTAGACTTGATAATAAGTCCATATACATAACAGGAACTTTCAGTTTCCTCTACAGAAAATGTGCGGGTTTTGCGATCCGGTGCACATCTGCAAAGCAGAGAAGAGAAGAGAAATATCAGTCATACATGCTGTGGCAACACCAGGTAACTGCACTGAAGAAATAAGCTATTTCTCCTGTATGTAAATGAGTTAACGGGCTAGTTTGCCAAAAAAATGAAAATTCTGTCATTAATTACTCACCCTCGTGTCGTTCCAAACCCGTAAGACCTTCATTCATCTTCAGAACACAAATTAAGATCTTTTTTATGAAGTCCAAGAGCTTTCTGACCCGTCCATAGACAGCAACACAACTGACAAGTTTTATGGTCCAGAAAGGTAGTTAGGACATCATTAAAATAGTCCATGTGATGTGAAAGATCTCGAACTTCATCAAAAAAGATGAACGAAGGTCTTACGGGTTTGGAACGACACGAGGGTGAGTAATTATTTTTGGGTGAACTATCCCTTTAAATGCGTATGTACATTGGGTTGTCGAGGGCAAATCTACTCTTCCTCATCAGGTGGGATTCCCAGCTCCTCATCTGTCCATGCTGAAGTGTCCGGCCATGGGAAATGACCCTAAAGAGACATTTAGCTAAGTGGCTGGTAGTCTGTTTATTATGAAATGTTTAAAAACAGTAGTATTTTATCCCAATGCTCATCTATTTTGATGCGGTTTCTACTCACCAGTACGGCATCTGGGTCGTGCCAGATGTGCCACAGGATCCAGAACCACATGGCGCCGCTGAGCAGCTCTGCCTGAAACTTCTGGTTCTTGGTGAGCTGAGGAGTTTGTCTGTATTGGGGTTCAATATGAGGGCCTCCTCCTGCCCTAAAACATAACCGTCAGAAAGATTACCGGTAAGTACGTAAAAAGTAATGGCTAGCAGTGCTAATGAAAACCCATGATACATTCTGATACTAATAAGCTGAACAAATATATATGGATATTTGTAAATAAATTAAAATACCTAAAATAATTTAAATGAATGAATTGTACATAAAATAGCCAATTAAATATTTTTACATTTTTTCTTCATATTTATTATACTCTATTATTTCTGTAATAATTACATTTATTTTTGTTTAAGATTTTATAATATGCAAGAAATAACAAAATTACACCAACATACCACAACCCTTTACCCATCAGACAAAGTATCAATTACATTATACAATGACAAAAAAAACAAAAAAAACAATTATACATATTTTGGGATTGTATTCCCTACTTGTATTTTTCAACAAATGACAAGAAAGGTTGCCAGATTGCATAGAATTTCTGGGAAGACTCTTGAAGAGATTATCTTATTTTTTCCAGTTTAAGACACTGCATGATCTCTTTAATCCAATGGAGGAAATTAGGGGGAAAGGGGTCTTTCCATTTAAGCAAAATTAACCTTCTGGCAAGTAATGCACAAAAGGCTAACATTTTACAATTATAGCTACTTAAGCGCATGTTTTGTGCTGTAACGCCAAATATAGCAATAAAAGGAGATGAGTCTACTGGCAAACACATTATTCCTGAAAATGCATCAAAAATCAATTTCCAGAAGTAATACAAACTCGGGCAAATCCAAAACAATGTAAGAGGCTTGCAGGAGCCTGCCTACATCTGTCACAAATTATTACATTTATTTTTAACATATACATAAGATATTTTTACATGTCTTGTTCTTACAAAGCTCAAACATTTATCTGCGTTGAACAAACAAGTAAAAATAAACATGGAATTACCTTTTAAATAATGAATAAATGCATTATATTAGAACATCTCTTGCAGAATGTATATTTTGCTTTATTATTAGACACTTAATGCAATTAACTAAATTTACAAAGTACAGTGGTACTATCCATTTTTAGACAAGTTACCGTGCTTTTTACCTTGGTACGAGCATGTGTTTTGATAAGTAACGTTACCATGATAATACCAACAACCATATTTTTGGACCTTGTATTTTGGAGTACCATGCAAATACCATCGTATGTATAAATGTAAAAATTCAATGCCAAGGTATTACAGTTTGATACCATCACTGTACCATGGTACGACCAGGGTACCAACTTCTATTTAAAGCTAACCTCTATATACTCTACTTGTATGCAACCATCTAATTCGTTAATAATAAACCTGACTAATTCCGTAAGGTTCGTTACGCTGTTTCTTCAGTATTATTAAGACTTTCCAAGAACCAAACTACAGCCTTTACTGTATTCAAGCAGCACGTTTAGCCTGTTAGCTTCCTGCTGATAAACACTCACTTTCTGACGGTCATCTGCCGAGGTCCGCGTCTGAAGAGCTGCAGGCCTGTTCGCAGGACACCCGCCGTCCTCCTGAGAGAAGACATGCTTATATTTGTGCCACCACTCTGTTTTCACAATTAGTTTGGATCGGATGAGCTGCGGTGACCAGACAGCTAAATGTCACCTTTACAGCGGCCGTTTCTCTGGCCTGCTAATAACGAGCGCTGTGATTGGTCACTTAAAATAAGGCGATTTAATGCTACTCGTTGTCTGTTCGTTAGAGGGCGCCAAATACCCACCGAGAAAAGATTGTATAAATATTTGTCAGGTATTGTAAATAATAATAATAAATATAACAATAAAACTGGAATCAATTTAATATAAATTACGTACTTAATTTGGTCATTTATGTCTTTATTGGGCCTACTTTTATTAGTGTGTAAAAGTATATTTTAATTATTGTTTCTTTCCATTTATGATAAAATCCACTCTGGGCAAAAGTTAGTTAAGAAATAAGAGATTCTGCTTGTGAATTTTATTGTTCTTTATTTGTATTCATTTTATAGTATGCATTACATGAAGAAACGTTTAGGAAATTGTATTTACACGATTGTATTAATGCAGACTATGAAAACAGGACACAGGAGACCAGTGATCATTATATGAGAAATAGTACTTTATTTGCACAAAGAGCAATAAATGTCAACATGTTCTATTACTGTCTTTATGACTCCAAGGACTACCATGCAAGAAAATATTCAAAGGGCTGGGAGAAACTTGGGAGTGCCAGTGGAATAACACAGTTAAACACGACTAATCCTGTGATTTATATGTTTCAAAACTGTATGTTCAGCAATTAAAAACAAAGAAATAACAGCTGTTTAAAGAGAGAGAGGAGTTTACAGGTTATCAGGCTACATCTTTTAGCACCTTAACCCTTTAAAGCCTGGCATAAAAATAAATAAAATAATCAGAATATTCTTTAATTGTAATTTTTATTTCAATAGTTTATTGAGCCTCTTTATTAAATTATATATATATAGTTGTCAAAACATATCATATTTGATACATTACGTTTGTATGGCCTATAGGCCTGGTTTCACAGACAGGGCTTAGACTAAAACCGGATTAGGCCATAGTTCAGTTAGGCCATTTAAGTCGTTTTCATAAATGTGCCTTAGAAAAATACAATACTGGTGTACATCTTGAGACAAAACAAAGACACTGACGTATTTTATGATCGGGGGGATAGAGTATGATATAAGTGAATGTGGTGCTCATACGTGAGAAGGAAAACTCAGAGGCCCATACAGAGCAAAAATATGCAGTTTGGTGTAGATTAAATTCTGATACCTTGTAATGTAAATCAATAACATTTCTAAGAGTATAGCAGACCACTTATAATAAGCATATAAATATCAGTTGTATCAACAGTGGGTTAGTAATATTTGAGATAGACAAGATAGATGTAGATCAGGGGTGCCCAAACCCGGTCCTGGAGGGCTGGTGTCCTGAAGAGTTTAGCTCCAACCCCAATTAAACACACCTGAACCAGCTAATCAAGCTCTTATAGGCATACTAGAAACTTGAAGGCAGGTGTGTTTAGGCAAGTTGGAGCTAAACTCTGCAAGACACCGGCCCTCCAGGACCGAGTTTGGACACCCCTGATGTACAAGATTGTGTGGAACAGGTTTTTCAGCACATTTTTGATCATGTTGATCATTTACAGGGCTTAGAAATGAGATACAGTATGCTTTATAGGTTAAGTTTGGTTATTTCAATACAATTTAAATAACCAACCCAACCCCCCAATTTAGTTGTTTCAGCCCCAGATTAAAAAAACACTGCACTTTACTAAGCATAATAACAATAATACATTTTAAAGCTGTAACATGTTGCAATCTGGTCAATATAATATGCACTTGGACGAAGAAGACAATTAGGTAACGGGTTATTGTGTTAGTACAAACATATAGGCTACTAAGAAGTTAAAACAATGTTAGTAACGAAAATGCTTGGGAAGTAATTTTAAAACAGGCATTTTGAGCTTAAGGGATTTAGTACAAAACAACTACAACTCGCTAAGCAGTGCGCTCTATAGAAAATGCTCCAATACGCCATTTACTAATCACCATCCCAGAGCAGTGCAGGGAGCGACAACATGGCGGCTCTGGAAACACAATCACTGAAAAAGCGAGCACTTCATGCAGCTTAAAGCCACGACGTTACCTAACATCCATTTTAACGAATGCAAGAAATAGATTACTTAATGCATTATGGCATTGCACAAAGACGATGTGAAACCTCAGCCGCGATGTTTTCTGCACACGATTCGTTTCCTGATCGCCACCTAAACGGGAAATGCGCCGCTTTTGTTGCAGCTCATATGCGGCTGTTATTGTGACGTAATACACGACTTCTGAACATCTCTCACAATAGAAGCTTGACCTTTAAGAATTCCCAAAACATACATATATATATAGAGAGAGAGAGAGAGCGATAGATAGCATGGTAGTTTTATTAACACGCATATGTAACGGATGATTGCAACAAACTATTTAAATCACAATACATGACATTACAACACACAAGACTGTTCAAAATATTACTCTTAATAAGCAAATCCAGTAATAAACAGCACTGTGTCCCCACATATGCCTTTGTGATGTCTTAATTTAGATTAAACTCGTAATTTGTCACATCATGCGTGTTGGGGCCACGTAATTACGTCATGACGCAAAAGAAAAAGAATCACTGAATCGTTTATAACCGATTCTTTTGAACGAACACCCAAAACACTGCTTTCATATTCCGATGTTTGAGGCGACAAAAGCGCATCAAGGTTTTTAGTGGTCAGTGTGCATTTTAAAACACACGGCTGATGATGTAACGTTACTCTTACGGAGCTGAATCCGGTTTTCGTCGATGATATTTTCCGGAAAGCCCGTGACCCCGCCCTGTGCGCTTTGTGCAGTGCTGCGAGGAGCATTGACGCCATCTTCTTGCGATTTTTGTGACGCGGCAGGAGCTAATTTTGTATATAAGGCAACTCCGTGACCGGGCTCTTCTAAAACGCCGTGTTTCAGATGTCCGCTGAGATTCAAGTATATGAAATGGTTAATGAGAGTTGGCGCCCTACTGTCGTCCACAAACAAGGTCGGGTCTCCGGGTGCGCCGCTCTCCCCTCTCAGCTCAGAGCTTGCCCACATATGGAATTCAGATGATGTCATCTGTAGCCAATCAGCGCCGAGAAAACGGGACAATACGCGTGTTATTGGTCAAGGGCAATGTCATTCATTCTATTCAGGAAGGCCAGGGAGGGGGGCGAGCGGAGAAAATCGCCATTTTGAAAGCGTAACAAAATGAACGATATATCGACGCTGAAATAATACCCTAGCTCCAGGACTGGTTGAAATGTAGCCCGTCTTTATGTCCATCTATAATCTCAAACGTCCCGAGAGTTAAAACCTGAAGATGATTTGACTGGCGTAGTAGGCAATCCTGTGCGATACAACAGCTCGATTTAACTCTTTAGTTTCGTTTTCTTTTGAATTGTACAAATTCGATGATCGGCGCGTCACATCGCAGTTTTCTGCTTTGTCTTGCTGTGTTTCTCCACTCTGCATTGCATAGCTCTTCAACTGCTACTGGTTGTTTTTATAGCACAGACTGCGCATGCGCAGGACGATGCGGTTTACATCCAGTTTAGTATGGGGGAGGGTGTTTGTATGTAGGTGAGTTGCTCGAATGAAGCCGTCTGGTTGAAGAGCAACATTTGGAGACCGTGCAACAATATATCAATGTATATTATGTGTATATACACATATAATGTGTATATGTGCATTGTATCAACATGAACTTGAGAAACTAGCTTTGAAGAGATCTCACAAAATGGGGAAAAAAGCAAAGTACAACAACAAGAAAAGAAAAAGAGTGGGTTTCTCCGGAAATATTATCTTTTCATTACACTCTGCAGATGTTTGTGTTTATACTTGTGGTCATCCCACTCCAGTTACCTTGAGCCAAAAAAAAAAAAATCTGCACTTGTATAAAGGGGTTACATAACAGATTTTGTATGTACTGTTTTGGGCCTCACACTTGTGGTCATCCCACTCCAGTTACCTTGAGCCAAAAAAAAAAAAAATCTGCACTTGTATAAAGGGGTTACATAACAGATTTTGTATGTACTGTTTTGGGACTCACAAGTAAGTGTTCATATTCAACCGTAGTAGGCAAAGACTTGTGTAGGCTGCCTTCTGCTTTGTTTTCACTCAATTCTTGTATATAGCTCTTATTATTTCATATGTTTTGACATTTGGATACTTATAATGGGTGAAGGGATTCCATAAAAAAGGAAACACATGTAGGGCTGACGATAAGACTTCCACATCAGGAACCTATAAAAAAGACCATTTTACCACGTACACATGCAGATACAAATGTGAAATTCTTATTTTATCATTCCAAAACACCCAGATATTGAAGCAAAACACAAGGTCTTGGCATTATTGAGAAACTTTTATTTGTAATGGTAGACAAACTATTTTGTAACTCTAGAAAACACTTTTATTATTCCTTGTACTTAGGTTTGGGGATTCAGACAAACTGTGGGATCATTTGTGCTAGGACATGAATGTAACCTCAAATCATGTGACTTGCATTATATTAGGGTATGGAGGTTTTAGTTAATTAAGTGCTTCAACTTGGTTTTTGAGGTTTGCTTTTTCTTTTCTTTTTTTTTGTATACAATGAAGTGGAGTTAATAATGTAGTCCTATTCATTGGATGTTATTAGTAATTGATGGTCCTTCGCAATGATTGGTCATGATGTTTTTTTAATGTGCTTGAGCTCACAATTGTATGTTTAAATATACCTGATGAAGATCGCGAGACTGAAACGTCAATAAAAACGGTTTTTGATATTTTTGCAAGTACTGGTAGTGTGCAGGATTACATTTTTTCCTTATTTCACTTTTTCTTTTTGAAATTTAGTGTAAACACTACTCACATTATTTCTACTACAATACGACAAGTACTCGAAATGGAGCACTCTAACTTATTGTGGTAGTAGTTAGATTTGCTTTGGCGTATTTATGTAAAATCTAATTCAGTTTGGAAATCTTTGCATAGCTATGACAGGAAACACTGGCATCTAACAACGGCTTGGGAAAAAAAAAACGTTAATCTTAAAAAAAAAAAAAAAAAAAAGTATATACATAAACCCAAATAGGAAGTAAAACAGTTATCCAATAAACATGTGTCCTGTTCTGTGTCCTAAACTCCTGAAACATTGGTGTCTCATATATTAGGGCAGTCACTGCAATTTATGAAAGAAATCAATTAAATCTGTCTGTGTGTGTGTGTGTGTGTGTGTGTGTGTGTGTGTGTGTGTGTGTGTGTGTGTGTGTGTGTGTGTGTGTGTGTGTGTGTGTGTGTGTGTGTGTGTGTGTGTGTGTGTGTGTGTGTGTGTGTGTGTGTGTGTGTGTGTGTGTGTGAAAAAATCTGATGTAACCCCCTTTGTAAACCAAAATATGAAATAAAACCGTTATGGAATAAGCATGTGTCCTGTTCTGTCTCCTAAACTCCTGAAATATTGGTGTCTCATATTTCAGAGCAGCCAATGCAATCAAAATAAATCAATTAAATCTGTATTATGTAGGTGTGTGTGAAAATATTCAGATGTAATCCCCTTTGTAATCGTTAACATTTTCATAAGTAACTGTAATTTAATTACACATTTTTTCTTAGTAACTGTGACTGATTACAATTACATTCATCTTGTAATTAAATTACGTAATTTAGTTACATGTACTAACCAACACTGCTCACCATAATCGCAATAATTTTTATCCATTATTTTTTCCCTTCCACGCATTCAGCTCGCTGGGCTGAGCCTTCAGGCTTATTTGTAATCATGGACCACAAAACCACTCTGAAGTAGCACGGGTATATTTGTAGCAATAGCCAATATTGTATGGGTCAAAATTATCGATTTTTCGTTTATGCCAGAAATCATTAGGATATTAAGTAAAGATCATGTTCCATGAAGATATTTTGTAATTCCTACCGTAAACTTAATTTTTGATTAGTAATATGCATTGCTAAGAACTTAATTTGGACAACTTTAAAGGCGATTTTCTCACTATTTTGTTTTTTTTTTGCACCCTCAGATTCCAGATTTTCAAATAGTTGTATCTCGGCCAAATATTGTCCTAACAAACCATACATCAATGGAAAGCTTATTTTTGTTTGGTTGTGTGGTCTCGGGTCTCATATTTTCAATGAGACAATTGAACGATTAATTCTTAGCAGTTGTCGATTAAGTTAGCCGACCAGTAGGATTGCTGCACTGGTTTCAAAATACTTCATTGCATGATAGTTTTATTAACACGCATATGTAACGGAGTTGACTTAAATACCATTTTACTATGATAATGATTGCAACAAACTATTTAATCACAATATATGACTGTTACAAATCCTGTAATAAACAGCACTGTGTCCCCCACATATGCCTTTGTGGGCAAATAATGTCCTGTCCTAACAAAGCATACATCAATGGAAAGCTTATTTATTCAGCTTTCAGATGCGGTATAAATCTCAATTTCAAAAACTGGACCCTTATGACTGGTTTTGTGGTCCATGCAGGGTCACATTTCTCCACAGCGGGCTGCAGTGGACTGTATGCTTGCCGCGGATGAACTCTCTCTCCGCCCCTGAGGTTGTGCGCCGGACCGGGAAACCCCGCGGATCAGAGGCGGAGCGCGCAGTGACAGAGAGCCGGGGGTGAGCGGGGGAGGCGGAGCCACGGCACTTCTGCCAGGGCCGCCATTTTTGCACAGGGAAAAGAGGATTGAAGGGATCCAGTTTCTAACTGTCGGCATAGATATGGACAAAATTGTCGGGTTTTAACAGTCTCCAACTGTACGTTTGGATTAGAGCACCACGAAGCGAAATACAAGTGCGAAACCGCGCGATTTGTAAAGCTTTGTTACACATCCGCAGTGGAGAGCGAAGTATTGTTTTGGTTGTGTGGTAGATCAGGCGGCGGGGTCTCACCCGAGTCCCCCGTGTCTTTATTCACAGTTATTACAGTGGACATCAACGGTAAGTACCTGGCGTAATCCTACAGCTATCGGTTTGTTTATCAGAGGGGGTTGTTTGATGCTAGTGGCTAAGTGACTTGCTGAAGAGGGTCCCATCCTTGTGTAGATGCTGAAACTGTGAGCATGTGTTATTAGTTTGTTAAAATTAGATGTAATTACAACGCTGCTGTGCATTTGTCAACCCTCCTTTTGAGGTATAAATCCCTGGCTTGTTGTACGGAGGGCAATCCGAGCAGTGTGTGTCTGCGTGTGTACGACTTAATTTAGCAGCTAAGGTGGCTAGCTAGCTCACACCCACCCTTAATGCCTCACAAAAGGAAAGATCTCCAATTGTAACGCTGTTTTATTGTGGTAGCAACCAGAAAAGCTGCACACGAGAGTAGCGGAAACTCGTTGTCGTTGCTCTTGCGTTGTTGGAAAGCTGCTAGCCACACCAGCAGTCACTGGAGAAATGCTAGCAAGTTAGCCAACCGACCAAGAAAGAAACAGCTCGAGACTTCAATAATCTCTTTACATGCTGGGATGTGCAACAAAAACGGATTGAGTGTGTTTCCATTTTGGTGAAGTCGTGGTCACGTCCCACGATACGTTGCTCCCGCCACTTAGCTACAAATCTTGATGGCGATATGCACGTTTACAACTATTTACACGTGTTTTTGATGTGCATTTTAGAGAATGAGAGGTGTGAAATGTTTAAAAAGGCAGCTTGTGCTCTGACAGAGCCTGCAACAACAGGGCTTTTGTTTACACCTCTCAACTCCGGCTAACCATTCACTAGGTCCACTCTTACCCCATACCTAGCCCACAAATACACTTTAAAGCCTATTGACTGACATTGATTCTTAGTAGTAAGACCCTCTATAAATACGATGTGATTTTAGTCTTTTGTTTTTGGACTGGCTCTATTCGCTGCAGAGAATATGACTGACTTAGTACGGCTTAGCATGATATTGTGTAGATTTAGCGTAGATGAGCGCTTATTTAGTGTCTGTCTGGTGTGTTTTGTGTGGCTGTGTGCTGATAATGAGTGCTGCTGGCGTGGGGGAGGGGTTCGGGCTCGGTTCTTGTAGTCAGATCTGCTTTAGCTTCTCCTCAAAGTGAACCACAACCGCGCTGCTTTACCAGCGAACTGCGCAGTTATGCCGGTTATAGTCAATAAACCGTCGTTTGACGCGTTTGTAGGCTTAGAACGATGTGTGTAAGATATTTATTACTGGACATTTGATTTATGCCTCCATGTAAGGAAATTAAACGCTCCAGCGTATCATATCGATGCGCATTAGCATAGCAAGCTAAGCAGTTAGCTTCACCGACTAGCTGTTTGTGAGGATGTTGTTTAATTAACTTAGTCGACCCGACGCGGTTAGTTTAGCTTTGTAGACGCGCTAACAGATCATTTAGTGACTTAAACGCAAAAAAAAGTCGTTAAAACGCACTTTCCCCCTCGGATAATCGTGTGCATTGTGAGGTAAGCTGAGGTTGGCTAGTCGTCGTCAGTCAGAATCGCTAGCTACGCAGAAACGACGCAAACACTTTGTTCCAGCACAAAACAGCGCATTTGACAAATAGATACTTAAGCATATGTGAAAAGACGGGTTTCTTGTTATCTTGGCCGTTTTCTGTCAAATTTCAGCGAGTCTTCGAGCGCAGTATTTCCTCTCAGGTGCTTAGTGAAAATGGCGGATGAGTTGATGTTGTGGGAATGAAAGCCTCCACACCCCTAGATCAGCTCTCACACACTGCAGCGCCAGCACACTCACCCACGGGCAAGTGCACAACACACACCAGAAAAATACAGTGCTGTGTTTCACCAAATATGATTATAGCCTGCGTCCACTGAACGCTTTAGCACATAAACCCAACCATATGAGCGTGTTAGATATGCACCCTTGTTGTTAAACCTGGATAAACCTTCATAAATTTGTACACGACACTCAAATCTCATCTAATTCGTGAAGCAAAGTATAATAAACGACCAGTAACAATCTGTTGTTGTTGTCTTTACAGTGTTCAACAGTATATTTCTCCATTCAAATGGTAGTTTTCATATGGGATTAGAAGATAATTGTCGTCTTTACAAGGTAAAGTGTATTTAAGGCTTTTAAACGTGAGGCCGATATTGGCAAGATGTCACACTGGAGTTAAGTAAAAGTATAAACATGCAGCCCTTTGTGGAAGGAACAATAGGGGATTTATTACTCGCACTCATCTTTGTTTCATAGTAGCACAACCTCAGACAATCTTAAATGTAGCTCAAACAGCTGATCTTGTTCCTCTCTTGTTTTACAGCACAATACAATACATTATAGGCCTGGTCGGTATGGTGATACGTGTACCGTTTCATTGATAGACAGTTTTGCTATTCCACGGTATGCAAGTATTGTCACAAGTGCTACAAGCGATAAAGAAAAAATCATAAGAAAATGAAACTGGGAAAAAAAAAATCAATGCGGCTTGTCCGTTGAGTCCACAGTATGCGAATGAGTTCTATTTCACGGCTTATTGCGCTTGAACGTTCAAGTAAACTGAGGCAGTTATGTCTTTAATCTATTTAAGACATTGCAATGTCTTAATAAAAAAATATATAGGCACAATACACACAATGAAGACGTTTGATTTGATTTCTGTAGTATTTCTTACATGATGCTGTTAAATCGTATCTGAAAAACTTACTGCAATATATATATTTTCAGTTGTCTTATATTGTTTCTCCTATTGTTATTTGCATCTTCTAATTTGTAATAGATGAAATAAAATAAAGTTAACTTCATTATGAAGTAAAATGACTCGTATTGCGAAATAAGAATTCCGTCATACCACCCACCTCTAGGAAATAGTTTTGTGACTTAGTATACCTTACTGGAAATTCATGACTATGAAAGGCAGGGTTGTGTTGTACCAGAAACCTAGATGTGTGCATTGCCTCACCTAAAGAATTAACCGGAAACGAGATGTTTCTCGAGCTCGTGCACAACCATCTACTTCTTAAAACTACTCGGCAATAACTGTTTTGGTTTAACAGCCACATTGAGCAGTACGACTTTATTTGAGGATGCCGTTGAGTTTACTGCAGTGTAGAAAAGAGTGCAACCCACACGGCTGTCATATTTCTCTCATGATTACTGCTCCCTCCCTCTGGTCAGCGGGGAGTTTACAGGTCCAGAAGAATGTGGTTATTCATCAGAGCGGTTAGATGGGGTAAACATGGGCCCTAATGTGCAATGAATAGACGATGATGCTGCAAAAAAGTAATCTTGATCTTGGATAGGAAGCATGGGCAAGTGACTGCTCATGCGTGAACTGATAGCACATCATCGGGGGCTTCGGTTATCCAGCGGGTCAAGCCATCACGCTGCATATGAATGCTGATGTTTGAGTTTTATCACTCTTAATGTGTCTGGTTTCTTTCCCTCAGCCTGACTGACTGCATGACTGTGGAATTTTTGCTGAAGTTCACCCATATAACTGTGTGTGGGCCTCGTCCTGTGTAGCATACGTTAAAGTCATGTGTTTTAATCAATAGAAATCATTTACTTGCCGCCTTTGTTAACCGCAGCGCTGTTCCTATATCTTTGGTTGTGTTTAGAAGGGCTTTCCGTAATTAAAACCAAGGCGTTGCTCCAACAGCTTTCTGAAAATGCCAATTTTTGCATATTTCTTGTAGAAGCCAGTATGTGCTACATTTTTTTTCCCCCTTAGCCAAACTGTGAGACCGGCCTCTGTGGTGCAAACTTTGGCAGCCACGGGTGAGATGATGGTCTGAGATACTTGCCAAACACATGCTTTGGACCTTTTTCCTTCAGGACAGCACCATGGCTGAGATTCAAGATGGCCATTAAGAACGGATTTGCCATCTATTGTATAAAAGCTGATTTGCTCCACAAATACTGTATTTTTGTTTGAGGCACCTTTTTTTTGCATGGAAAAGCTCGCGAGCCTGTTCTTGCCTGCAGATAACGAGAGGAGCAGACCATGTACAGTGCAGGCTGTGGCTTTCTGACAGGCTTTTCCTGTAGGTGGAGGTCCAATCATTGGCATGTAGTGGTGTGACATCACAGCGAGGCTGTGCAGCTGTGCAAAGAGGATGGAACATCAGCCTACGCACATCAACACACAGCTCACAACTCGCACAGTGACACTAGAGGGAAGTGATCCACACGGAGAATGAAGCAGAAGCTCGCTTAGCTGCGCAAACCTGGTTTGTTTTTAAATGATAAACGTAGTGCATTTCAACTACTCTTGTCGTCTCATCTGACGGAAACATGGTGAATAATCTTGAAGAGTTCAGAATGAACACTTGACGGTGTCATGTTTTGCATAACCTGACTTTTTTAAGAGAGGGATGCATGGAAAGGTGAAGGTTGTGTGACAACCGATATAAAAAGTGACGATTTTTACTGTACTAGGGCGTAATAAAGCTATTATTGTAGTAAATATTGACCTGAAAGATTAAAACGTGCAATTCCGATCAGCATAAACAGCTCGGCAACAGCTGCATTCACCATCCTGTCTTATTCTTTGTCAGGTTGTCATGTCACACTCGCATTCTAGCCTCACTGCGCATGGGTGACTCGACGCTGTGTGTGTGTGAGGCCATGGGCAGTGTCTGTTTGTTCTCTGTGTTGACAGAGGGATGGAGAAGTAAAGTACCCCACCCCCTCAGGAGAGATGGAGGTTTTAAAGTGAGAGAGAGAAGCAGGTGGCTCACAATCGCAGTCTCAAGTGACGCATCTTATACTTGCCTTGCGCACACTGAGACACACACATGCTAAAACCTGACAAAACAAACTCCAAAGCCTGTTTGCTTGACTCATAAACGTAAAAGATAGCATGTTTTTATATTTATCCAGCTGAGGTGTGGTTTAGCGCGTATGCTGGTAGCTGGTTCCACCGGTAGGCCTGTTGGTGCCGTAAGGTCATGTGAGAGATGTGCAGAGAGGAGCTGTGGGCTCAGGTAACCTGTTTTTGTTTGCTGGCTGTAACCGAGCTCTCTCAACGGGC